AGGTGCCAAAACTTGCGAAGAATTTCACAAGAGCACGCTCATGATCATCTCAACGAACTGACAATTACCGATTGCCCTCAATTTGAATCATTCCCCAGTGAAGGATTATCTGCGCCGTGTCTAGAAATAATTGCAATTGAAGGAGCTGAGAATTTGAAGTTGTTGCCAAAACGCATGAAAATCCTGCTTCAATCTCTTAAGAACCTGCGGATAATTGATTGTCCACAAGTGGAGATGCTCTCAGACGAAGGTTTGCCAAGAAATGTAAAATATGTGTCTCTTTCAAGTTTAAAACTTATGGCATCCTTGAGAGAGAGCTTTGATGGGAACACAAGTCTTGAACGGTTGTGCATTGAAAAGGTGGATGTGGAGTGTTTTCCAAATGAAGGTTTGCTGCCACTCTCTCTCATCTCTTTACAAATCCTTGATTGCCCAAATCTTAAAAAGCTGAACTACAAGGGTCTCTGTCACCTTTCTTCTCTCACACTTCTTCACTGCCACAACCTTCAATGTTTACCGGTGGAGGGTCTACCCAAATCCATCTCTTCTCTCGCAATTCGGGGTTGCCCATTGCTCCAACTGCGTTGTCAGAAGCCAAAAGGCCAAGACTGGGTAAAGATTGCTCATATTGAAGAATTGATTATTGGATAATAAGATGAAGTAGAAGAAAGTTAGATGTGTATAATTCCCAATAGTCTGTCTCTTCAAGAGGTGCTAATTCTCCACAATATCTCTCTACCTTTTCAATTACAATTTTCTTAGTTGCAAATATTTCAATCTTAATCGGTATTTACTAAAACAACAGAAACACCGAGTTTTATAGGAAATGGTGAGATGAGTTTTAATGAATGATTTGTTAATTGACAATAGTATAATTCCTTTTCCAAATCAAACAGTTTCTAAGAGTTGTCTTTTTGCTATTGTTATCTGTTAAATCGATATGTCTGAACAATAATTTATCTTTGGTCTTTTAATATCTCACATTTTTAATCTAAACATGCAGCTTGTTGTCATGGCAGTTGACATTGTGAAGCTTTAGCATCGCCATTTAATTGGAAAAATCTGAACATGCAGCTCTACAAAGTTTGTATGCTGATGGATCCGCTCATTCTTTTTGTTGGGTTTTGATTTTTAAGTTAATGATTTAAATGGAAGCAGAAGAGCCCTGTGCTAATATCGCTTTCTTGTTTACATTATCCGTGTTTATGCCTGGAGGTAGTAGAAAACAGCCTCTTCAGCTGGCCCTGGATTCTCAGCATGACACTGAACAATGGACTTTTCCATGAGCAGAAACGAAACTGGATGAAATTTAAGGTAAAAGATTGCAAGTTGTGTATATGAGACGTGAATAAAAGAATTCAAGAGCACCATCCAATGGAATTTTACCTGTGACGATGTGCGATCCAATGACAATTTTACCTATAACGATATGTAGGAAATTTTTGCTAAGTTATGAAGTGTATTAATGTGTTCGGCCAGCCATGAAAATTTTACCCATGACAATGTACAGTAGCTTTGGCTAAGTTACGAAGCATATTTACGTGTTCGGGAAGAAGGGATAGGTACTGGTAAGCGGTACTACGCTCCTCCTCCTGTAAAGTCTCTAGATATAGTGCTAATAGTGCCCCTCAAGAGAGGCTTGTTGCCTGCAAGTCTATCTTTTCGTCTCCTTCTCTGTCGGTAATGTGTGAATAAAATGTAATTGCATTCAGATCTTAGTATAGGCCATTTGCATTGTATTAATTGAATGATTTTATCATGCATTATCTTTTTTTCTTGTAGATTGTGTTTCTAAAGTGTTAAAATCATAACTTAGCTGTGAATGTTTTCTCAACCTGTGGATTTTGCTCTAAAAGGTAGAGTTGAAACCAGAGATTTTCACATCTGAGCTGTGAAAGTTTCCACAATCCATGGATTTGTCTTGAGAAAAACAAAAAATGAAAACCAGCAAGTTCAACAATTGAGTTGTGACTTTTTTCACAACTTGTGAATTTACTTTAGGAGCGCAAACTTGAAACCAGAGAAGTGCACAAGCAGATTGTGGATTTTTTCTATCAACAATGAAAATTTTCAAAGCAATTACTAACCTCTTATATTACATGGATTTAAAGAGATTTAAAAAAATAGAAATTGAAGACACTTATTTGAAGAGAGTAACCACTCCTCTGGAAAGGGGGAATTAGAGGAAAAGAGGGATTGGACAATTAGGAAGGGCAACATAGAGATCACAGAGCAAGGAATGAATTCTACACTTCTTCTTCCTTTAGTTTCTTGTGAATTTTACCTTATGCAGAAGTAATTTTCCTTTTTGTTACAGGATTGATGTAATACTTTATATTATAATTTTTGAACCTTTCCATTTGATGTTTAGTTAATTTTAATTCTCTTGGTGTTTTATTTATGTTCTAATGTCTATCATATAAGCAATTTCACAATTGGGAAATTAGAGATTGTTTGCGATTATAAATAGAATAGATTAGATGTTGTCACAATGTGGAAATTGGGCATAGCTAATTAGTTTGCAATTGAGATAATAATTGTTCTTCACGATTTTATTAAATTTTTTAAGTGGCCCAAGGAATTGGAGGTTAGAATTCAATGGATAATTTTTCCTATCTAAGGAATTAAAGGTAAACAAGCTCTTAATAAATTTAAATGGATAATTATAATTTGCACGTCAATTGGAAAGGGTAGTGAAAATCTCAAACTTTGATACCATCGTGAATAAGTGAGTTAATAAAATCTTTAATTATTTATCTATACTAAAACAAACCAAGCTGAAAATCACCTTATTCCAAATTTAAAACCAAAAATAGTAATCCAAAACATTATATTACATAAAAGATAAACATTCTCTTAAATGCCTTTAGAAATTCCCCCATAAGATTTTTCCACGCGTCTCCTTACTCTACTCAACACCGGCAACATCTATAATATTTGTTCCCACATAACAATACAAATTATAAAATCATTGCATAACACAAAACAATCAAGCAAGGGTGAGATACCAGAACAAAGTCAGATAATATACAATAATCATACTCACCCATTCTACTCAAACATTTGTTACAAGCATATAGTTCACATCACAAACATGTCATAAGATTCACATCACCTCCAAGTGATAAAATCTAAAACCATACAAAAAATGTATCACCTTCAAGTGATACTAAACCATATGTCATTCTCTCGTACCCTACAGTACAAAATGTATTTACCGAAACAAAACAGTTTGTGTCGTCCTGCCGTCATAGCAAGGCCTTGTCTCCCCTACTTCTCAAGGACTTACGAGTAAAAACTTTGATGTGTTACACATCGAGCATTATACTCAATAATGAACTGGAAACCTACGAGTGAAATATTATTCCCTTCTCCACTACCTCAAAAGAAAAAAGGTGCAGCACTCAAACCTCTCCTCTTCCACTGCCTTACATAGGTGAAGAGAACTCATTTCCACTCTCTCACACAAGCGAAAAAAACAACCTCGACTTTACAATATACGACAAGAAGACATATTCATCAAACTTGTATCCCAATACCAATTGAGACAGACAAGACAACCCACAAAATCGTATCCCAATACAAATTGGGACTAACGAGTCACATCACACCAACCATCATCACAACAAATCATTCCACAACAATACAGTCCAAAAAGAACATCAACAATCAATCACACAACTTAGTCGACATATACACAACTCAACATTCATCACCAAGACCTTGATAGTCATCACAAATAGCATGTCAACCATCACAAACAGCTCAACCAAGGTCATAAACCTCCATGCTGGCCTCTAGAACACATAGGTTGTGCTTTAGAACCCCAAAATTGAGGTCTAGAACAACGCGGTCATAAATAGCTTCGTCAACCCAGTTTTGCCAACATAACTTAACCAACCTAGTCCAACCAACAAACAAAAATAAGCATGGCAACAAACCCAAGCAACATGGCAACAATCCGGAAACACACCCAAACATCAAGGCAAGCAATAAGGTAACATGACAACATAAAATGCACTATGTAAATCCCTAAACAACTTGGCAACATATTAAGCAACTCGACACTTGCTTCTTAAAACATCACCATAATAATTAAAACAACATGGCACTAACCTTAAACATCATGGCAACACATTTAACCAACCCAACGAGTATAAAAACAACATGGTAACTCAAGTTTAACAATCCATAATTATGTATAAGCAATTAAAACAGCATGACATAACCCGAGAATCATCATGACAACATATAACAACCCGACCAAACTTTGAAAAAACATGAAAAAACCTACAAACACTAGGCACAATATGAAGACATACTACACAACCCCCAACATCATATGAAAAAAGATTGGTACCGCAATAGTACACTATAGCAACAATTCATACAACCCGACATAGCATAATATATTATGGCAATGTTTATAACAGTTTAACACTTACCTAGGTTCCTAGGTACAACCTGCACCATATCTTAGCATGACAATTTAAAAAGGGAACAAATCAACACACTTAGCATATAACCAAAAAACGTGAAATATACAAATGGTGTACTCTATACCAAAAATTCATGTCGAAACCCTGAGAGAACCGTAACCATCAAGAGAAAGTAAATTTGAACACCCACATGAAAAATAAGGGGTTCACATGAAACAAAAAACATAAAGTCTTACACCTTCTCTTGCCTCTCTTCTAGAAATATTCTTTAGCTCCATTACGTTTCCAACACCACAACAAATGTTCCTTGCTCCCTCACTTAAAAAAAAAACAAAAATTTTACTAAAACTCACAACTCACTCATTGGTATGTTGTTTCTTCAAGGTGCTAGGTCTCTAACTTAACCAAATATTAAGATCACACCATCGTAACCCTAAACTTGGTGCCTCTCGTTTCTAGAATATTTTATCTTAATTTCCTAATTGTTCACGTTAATAATTCTAGTTTCCTAATTACCTTAANCTCTCTCATCTCTTTACAAATCCTTGATTGCCCAAATCTTAAAAAGCTGAACTACAAGGGTCTCTGTCACCTTTCTTCTCTCACACTTCTTCACTGCCACAACCTTCAATGTTTACCGGTGGAGGGTCTACCCAAATCCATCTCTTCTCTCGCAATTCGGGGTTGCCCATTGCTCCAACTGCGTTGTCAGAAGCCAAAAGGCCAAGACTGGGTAAAGATTGCTCATATTGAAGAATTGATTATTGGATAATAAGATGAAGTAGAAGAAAGTTAGATGTGTATAATTCCCAATAGTCTGTCTCTTCAAGAGGTGCTAATTCTCCACAATATCTCTCTACCTTTTCAATTACAATTTTCTTAGTTGCAAATATTTCAATCTTAATCGGTATTTACTAAAACAACAGAAACACCGAGTTTTATAGGAAATGGTGAGATGAGTTTTAATGAATGATTTGTTAATTGACAATAGTATAATTCCTTTTCCAAATCAAACAGTTTCTAAGAGTTGTCTTTTTGCTATTGTTATCTGTTAAATCGATATGTCTGAACAATAATTTATCTTTGGTCTTTTAATATCTCACATTTTTAATCTAAACATGCAGCTTGTTGTCATGGCAGTTGACATTGTGAAGCTTTAGCATCGCCATTTAATTGGAAAAATCTGAACATGCAGCTCTACAAAGTTTGTATGCTGATGGATCCGCTCATTCTTTTTGTTGGGTTTTGATTTTTAAGTTAATGATTTAAATGGAAGCAGAAGAGCCCTGTGCTAATATCGCTTTCTTGTTTACATTATCCGTGTTTATGCCTGGAGGTAGTAGAAAACAGCCTCTTCAGCTGGCCCTGGATTCTCAGCATGACACTGAACAATGGACTTTTCCATGAGCAGAAACGAAACTGGATGAAATTTAAGGTAAAAGATTGCAAGTTGTGTATATGAGACGTGAATAAAAGAATTCAAGAGCACCATCCAATGGAATTTTACCTGTGACGATGTGCGATCCAATGACAATTTTACCTATAACGATATGTAGGAAATTTTTGCTAAGTTATGAAGTGTATTAATGTGTTCGGCCAGCCATGAAAATTTTACCCATGACAATGTACAGTAGCTTTGGCTAAGTTACGAAGCATATTTACGTGTTCGGGAAGAAGGGATAGGTACTGGTAAGCGGTACTACGCTCCTCCTCCTGTAAAGTCTCTAGATATAGTGCTAATAGTGCCCCTCAAGAGAGGCTTGTTGCCTGCAAGTCTATCTTTTCGTCTCCTTCTCTGTCGGTAATGTGTGAATAAAATGTAATTGCATTCAGATCTTAGTATAGGCCATTTGCATTGTATTAATTGAATGATTTTATCATGCATTATCTTTTTTTCTTGTAGATTGTGTTTCTAAAGTGTTAAAATCATAACTTAGCTGTGAATGTTTTCTCAACCTGTGGATTTTGCTCTAAAAGGTAGAGTTGAAACCAGAGATTTTCACAACTGAGCTGTGAAAGTTTCCACAATCCATGGATTTGTCTTGAGAAAAACAAAAAATGAAAACCAGCAAGTTCAACAATTGAGTTGAGACTTTTTTCACAACTTGTGAATTTACTTTAGGAGCGCAAACTTGAAACCAGAGAAGTGCACAAGCAGATTGTGGATTTTTTCTATCAACAATGAAAATTTTCAAAGCAATTACTAACCTCTTATATTACATGGATTTAAAAAGATTTAAAAAAATAGAAATTGAAGACACTTATTTGAAGAGAGTAACCACTCCTCTGGAAAGGGGGAATTAGAGGAAAAGAGGGATTGGACAATTAGGAAGGGCAACATAGAGATCACAGAGCAAGGAATGAATTCTACACTTCTTCTTCCTTTAGTTTCTTGTGAATTTTACCTTATGCAGAAGTAATTTTCCTTTTTGTTACAGGATTGATGTAATACTTTATATTATAATTTTTGAACCTTTCCATTTGATGTTTAGTTAATTTTAATTCTCTTAGTGTTTTATTTATGTTCTAATGTCTATCATATAAGCAATTTCACAATTGGGAAATTAGAGATTGTTTGCGATTATAAATAGAATAGATTAGATGTTGTCACAATGTGGAAATTGGGCATAGCTAATTAGTTTGCAATTGAGATAATAATTGTTCTTCACGATTTTATTAAATTTTTTAAGTGGCCCAAGGAATTGGAGGTTAGAATTCAATGGATAATTTTTCCTATCTAAGGAATTAAAGGTAAACAAGCTCTTAATAAATTTAAATGGATAATTATAATTTGCACGTCAATTGGAAAGGGTAGTGAAAATCTCAAACTTTGATACCATCGTGAATAAGTGAGTTAATAAAATCTTTAATTATTTATCTATACTAAAACAAACCAAGCTGAAAATCACCTTATTCCAAATTTAAAACCAAAAATAGTAATCCAAAACATTATATTACATAAAAGATAAACATTCTCTTAAATGCCTTTAGAAATTCCCCCATAAGATTTTTCCACGCGTATCCTTACTCTACTCAACACCGGCAACATCTATAATATTTGTTCCCACATAACAATACAAATTATAAAATCATTGCATAACACAAAACAATCAAGCAAGGGTGAGATACCAGAACAAAGTCAGATAATATACAATAATCATACTCACCCATTCTACTCAAACATTTGTTACAAGCATATAGTTCACATCACAAACATGTCATAAGATTCACATCACCTCCAAGTGATAAAATCTAAAACCATACAAAAAATGTATCACCTTCAAGTGATACTAAACCATATGTCATTCTCTCGTACCCTACAGTACAAAATGTATTTACCGAAACAAAACAGTTTGTGTCGTCCTGCCGTCATAGCAAGGCCTTGTCTCCCCTACTTCTCAAGGACTTACGAGTAAAAACTTTGATGTGTTACACATCGAGCATTATACTCAATAATGAACTGGAAACCTACGAGTGAAATATTATTCCCTTCTCCACTACCTCAAAAGAAAAAAGGTGCAGCAATCAAACCTCTCCTCTTCCACTGCCTTACATAGGTGAAGAGAACTCATTTCCACTCTCTCACACAAGCGAAAAAAACAACCTCGACTTTACAATATACGACAAGAAGACATATTCATCAAACTTGTATCCCAATACCAATTGAGACAGACAAGACAACCCACAAAATCGTATCCCAATACAAATTGGGACTAACGAGTCACATCACACCAACCATCATCACAACAAATCATTCCACAACAATACAGTCCAAAAAGAACATCAACAATCAATCACACAACTTAGTCGACATATACAAAACTCAAAATTCATCACCAAGACCTTGATAGTCATCACAAATAGCATGTCAACCATCACAAACAGCTCAACCAAGGTCATAAACCTCCATGCTGGCCTCTAGAACACATAGGTTGTGCTTTAGAACCCCAAAATTGAGGTCTAGAACAACGCGGTCATANTTAAAAAAATAGAAATTGAAGACACTTATTTGAAGAGAGTAACCACTCCTCTGGAAAGGGGGAATTAGAGGAAAAGAGGGATTGGACAATTAGGAAGGGCAACATAGAGATCACAGAGCAAGGAATGAATTCTACACTTCTTCTTCCTTTAGTTTCTTGTGAATTTTACCTTATGCAGAAGTAATTTTCCTTTTTGTTACAGGATTGATGTAATACTTTATATTATAATTTTTGAACCTTTCCATTTGATGTTTAGTTAATTTTAATTCTCTTAGTGTTTTATTTATGTTCTAATGTCTATCATATAAGCAATTTCACAATTGGGAAATTAGAGATTGTTTGCGATTATAAATAGAATAGATTAGATGTTGTCACAATGTGGAAATTGGGCATAGCTAATTAGTTTGCAATTGAGATAATAATTGTTCTTCACGATTTTATTAAATTTTTTAAGTGGCCCAAGGAATTGGAGGTTAGAATTCAATGGATAATTTTTCCTATCTAAGGAATTAAAGGTAAACAAGCTCTTAATAAATTTAAATGGATAATTATAATTTGCACGTCAATTGGAAAGGGTAGTGAAAATCTCAAACTTTGATACCATCGTGAATAAGTGAGTTAATAAAATCTTTAATTATTTATCTATACTAAAACAAACCAAGCTGAAAATCACCTTATTCCAAATTTAAAACCAAAAATAGTAATCCAAAACATTATATTACATAAAAGATAAACATTCTCTTAAATGCCTTTAGAAATTCCCCCATAAGATTTTTCCACGCGTATCCTTACTCTACTCAACACCGGCAACATCTATAATATTTGTTCCCACATAACAATACAAATTATAAAATCATTGCATAACACAAAACAATCAAGCAAGGGTGAGATACCAGAACAAAGTCAGATAATATACAATAATCATACTCACCCATTCTACTCAAACATTTGTTACAAGCATATAGTTCACATCACAAACATGTCATAAGATTCACATCACCTCCAAGTGATAAAATCTAAAACCATACAAAAAATGTATCACCTTCAAGTGATACTAAACCATATGTCATTCTCTCGTACCCTACAGTACAAAATGTATTTACCGAAACAAAACAGTTTGTGTCGTCCTGCCGTCATAGCAAGGCCTTGTCTCCCCTACTTCTCAAGGACTTACGAGTAAAAACTTTGATGTGTTACACATCGAGCATTATACTCAATAATGAACTGGAAACCTACGAGTGAAATATTATTCCCTTCTCCACTACCTCAAAAGAAAAAAGGTGCAGCAATCAAACCTCTCCTCTTCCACTGCCTTACATAGGTGAAGAGAACTCATTTCCACTCTCTCACACAAGCGAAAAAAACAACCTCGACTTTACAATATACGACAAGAAGACATATTCATCAAACTTGTATCCCAATACCAATTGAGACAGACAAGACAACCCACAAAATCGTATCCCAATACAAATTGGGACTAACGAGTCACATCACACCAACCATCATCACAACAAATCATTCCACAACAATACAGTCCAAAAAGAACATCAACAATCAATCACACAACTTAGTCGACATATACAAAACTCAAAATTCATCACCAAGACCTTGATAGTCATCACAAATAGCATGTCAACCATCACAAACAGCTCAACCAAGGTCATAAACCTCCATGCTGGCCTCTAGAACACATAGGTTGTGCTTTAGAACCCCAAAATTGAGGTCTAGAACAACGCGGTCATAAATAGCTTCGTCAACCCAGTTTTGCCAACATAACTTAACCAACCTAGTCCAACCAACAAACAAAAATAAGCATGGCAACAAACCCAAGCAACATGGCAACAATCCGGAAACACACCCAAACATCAAGGCAAGCAATAAGGTAACATGACAACATAAAATGCACTATGTAAATCCCTAAACAACTTGGCAACATATTAAGCAACTCGACACTTGCTTCTTAAAACATCACCATAATAATTAAAACAACATGGCACTAACCTTAAACATCATGGCAACACATTTAACCAACCCAACGAGTATAAAAACAACATGGTAACTCAAGTTTAACAATCCATAATTATGTATAAGCAATTAAAACAGCATGACATAACCCGAGAATCATCATGACAACATATAACAACCCGACCAAACTTTGAAAAAACATGAAAAAACCTACAAACACTAGGCACAATATGAAGACATACTACACAACCCCCAACATCATATGAAAAAAGATTGGTACCGCAATAGTACACTATAGCAACAATTCATACAACCCGACATAGCATAATATATTATGGCAATGTTTATAACAGTTTAACACTTACCTAGGTTCCTAGGTACAACCTGCACCATATCTTAGCATGACAATTTAAAAAGGGAACAAATCAACACACTTAGCATATAACCAAAAAACGTGAAATATACAAATGGTGTACTCTATACCAAAAATTCATGTCGAAACCCTGAGAGAACCGTAACCATCAAGAGAAAGTAAATTTGAACACCCACATGAAAAATAAGGGGTTCACATGAAACAAAAAACATAAAGTCTTACACCTTCTCTTGCCTCTCTTCTAGAAATATTCTTTAGCTCCATTACGTTTCCAACACCACAACAAATGTTCCTTGCTCCCTCACTTAAAAAAAAAACAAAAATTTTACTAAAACTCACAACTCACTCATTGGTATGTTGTTTCTTCAAGGTGCTAGGTCTCTAACTTAACCAAATATTAAGATCACACCATCGTAACCCTAAACTTGGTGCCTCTCGTTTCTAGAATATTTTATCTTAATTTCCTAATTGTTCACGTTAATAATTCTAGTTTCCTAATTACCTTAATTTATCATTAATTTCATACGTCAAGATCTAGATTCAATGTACCTATTATCTTCTCAATGCAACTTTGTTGAAGC